GCGAAGCGTAGTTCCTGCCGCCAAAGTGCAATACCATATATAAGTGGGATTGGAAACTACAGCCGCCGGTCTGTCATCTACCAAAAATAAGGTAGCGCAGTAAAGCGTCCATGCTAACCACTGTATTAGACATGGCGCAGCCACAATTGCCATCATCTATACTTGCAGCCTTAACTTCGGAAAACTGCAGCAAACCCGACTATGCAGAAATGAAACAACGCATACGAGTGGTTGGCAGTCAGCAGCACTTAGTTAGGCTGTGCCAAAATAGGCAAATTTACTAATAAAACGCAAAATCATCGAATCGATTCACTCAATAAGACAAGAACGATGCTCCAAAGAACGAAATTTCGTTGAGTATGGCGCGATCGAATAGACAAGCAGCGCCCCGCGGGTTGACCAAAGCTGACTAACGATCCGACAAATTCAGATTCGGCTAAGGAAACCCTACAAGGCATTACTCGGTGGAACGCCACCATTCCCCAGAGGACGGTATTAGCAACGAAAAGGTCCAATAACTTGGTTACAGGCGCCACAATTCCAAAATACTAAAAGACCTACCGCGAGCATTTATCGCAAACGGGCGGCAGGAAGTATAACCAGATAACTGAAAACTCACAAAATAACTAGAAAATGGGGCAAAACAGTACAATTCAGACTGTGCAGGCCAAACCTGCGAGCGCAGGACTAACCTGCTCATTGTCCGATCTCAAGAGCTCAATAAATGCGTTATCGGGCAAATTATTGCCAAATTTTCAGTAAAAAACGTTAAATTAGTCGAAAAAAGACAAAAATAAGAAAATAACCTTCCTAAAATGCCAGAATACGAAAAAACGTGACTACACTCACCTAAACCACGCCTAGCACGTGCCAATTGAAAAAGTGGCAAGTCGCCCGATAAAACAACGGGTTGATGGAGTGATGGTAAGTGATTGTATATTCCGTTTCACTAACTATTTTGGCGGTTCTATGAAGATACCTTCATGAAAACGTGACTCATGTGAACTTGGGAGGCAGATAGTTTGTTGTGGGCGTGGCTGAGGTTTTCACTTTTACAAGATGCTACGTTCACGCGCCACAACGATAATCATAAAAGTGCTTTGACACATATATAAGACCAATACGAAGTCAGCTGCATGAAGTCTGCCATGAAAAAAATCTCGCAGAGGTTTCCACTACGGTCTAGGGACTGTTTTTGACCCTGTCAGTTGTAGGTCTTTGTAAATTTTCGTTTTAGATTTGTATGTCTCATACATGTATACATGTT